AAGGGACAAGAGAAAACTATCTGGGGTGATAATAATGTTCTGAATTTGAGAGGGTTTTAAGCTACACAGGTGTAGTCATCTATCAACACTCAACACTTAAGTTTTGCGTATTTCACTGTTTATAAATCTTACCTTAAAAAAAACATACATACACAGCCCTAGCTGGTTCCGCTCAGTGGCTAGAGCGCCAGCCTGTGGATCAAAGGGTCCAGGTTTGATTCCAATCAAGGGCATGTACCTTGGTTACAGGCAAGAGGCAACCAATCGATGTGTTTCTCTCTGTCTTTCCCTCTCTAAAAGATCAATGGAAAAATATCAAGTGAGGATTAACCAAAATAAAAACAAAAAAAAGAACCAACCATACATACACAAGTAAATATTGAATTCTAGTTCATAATACTCATGCTGAAGTTATTTAGAAGTATTCTAATTCTGCAACTTGTTTTAAAATGTTTTCTTTAGGGTTCTCCATACTATCACAACATCTGCAAATAATGCCAGTTTTTCTTCCTTTCCAGTGGGAATGCCTTTTATTTCTTCTTCTTACTTGATTGCTGTGGTGAGGACTTCAGTACTATGTTGAATGAGAGTGGTGAGAGCGGACATCCCTGTCTTGTTCCCAAGCTTATAGTTTTTGCCCATTAAGTATGATAGTGACTGTGGGTTTGTCATATACGGCCTTCATTATATTGAAGTATGTTCCCTCTATTCCCACTTTGCGGAGAGTTTTTATCATAAATGGGTGCTGGATTTTATCAAATGCTTTTTCGCATCTACTAATATGATCATGTGGTTTTTATCCTTCATTTTGTTTATGTGCTGCATCACTTTTTTTGATTTGCAGATATTGTACCAACTTGAAATCCCGGAATAAATCCCAGTTGATCACAGTGTATGATTTTTTTTTTAATGTATTGCTGGATCCGGTTTGCTAATTTTTTTGAGGATTTTAGCATCTATGTTTATCAGGGAGACTGGCTTATAATTGGGGGGAGGTGCTTGAGAGGATGTGGGGGGGAGGGGAATGAATTGAGCAAAAAAAGAAAACTTTTCTTTAAAAATCAATTGGTGGCCTTTTGGTTGAGTGGTGTCCATGCACCAAGAGGATGCCAATTCAATTCTGGTCAGGGCATATGCCTGGGTTGCAGGCTCAATCCCCAGTAGGGAGCCTGCTTGAGGCAGCTGACTGATGTTTCTCTCTCATCAATGTTTCTCTGTCTCTCCCTCTCCCTTCCTATCTCTCTCTAAAGTCAATAAAAACATATTTTTAAAAATGAACTGATAGATGGATAAAGGAAATATAGCAAAAAATTAATTGCAGAATTTAGGTGACAGACACGTTTACTATAAAATGCTTTTGATGTTTTCTATGTTTAAAGAGTTTCTTAATCTTTGTAACAGAATTGAATTCACACATAATTTAAAAATATGAAAGATCTGCTAACAAACGTACAAGTCTAATGATATATATACTTTAAACTGTTTGGGCTGACTTGGGTGGTATTTTTATCTTATTTATTTTGCTTTCCATTATTTACAAAGCAATTAAAAATAACAAATTCAAATTATAGCTACTAGTTTTAATCAAACAAATCAAAATTATATGCAAAGACTTAGCATAACTGTTAATGATTAACTAGGTTGCATGTTTTAAGATTTTAATCTTTTGTATTAAGTATTGCAACCATTTTTATCTAATTATTTTTAAGTACTTGTAATCAAATTTACTATCAAATATTTAATAGATTTTGAGAATTTGTGGATCTTAATATTTGAAAAATAAATGTTATGCTATTTAGACATGGTACATTTGGTATCTACTATACCACAATCCTGTAAATAAATTTATTTCAATTATGCATCATAAAATTTTACCTCAACAGTATTGAATTCTTTGTCTTATGACACAAAACGAGCACACAAATCAGTATAATGTATTACCTTGTATTTAAAAGAACATGTATTAAAACATTTAACCATGATCATCAACAATATATATTAAATACATTTTATCACACTCTAAATGATTTAAACATGTCTATTTAAAATTTGACATTACTCTAAAAGAAGGCACATGGAAACATTTTAAACATTTTTATATAAGTAAAAATGCAAAGGATAGACTGAATCTTTCAAAAATGAAGTAACTCCAAGTTGATGTCTCATTATCATACATAAAAATACTTGATTTGAATATTTTAAGAAATCAGCTAATATCTTTAGAAATGAAAGAGCTTCATTACCTTTCAGGATGTCATTATAAATACCTCATTTAGAAAATCATAAGTTGTAAAAATAACAATGTACCCCCATTGGAAAATAAAGGAGAAAAAAAATTATAATAAAATAAAATAAAAAACCTACAATGTACCATTGAAGTTCATGTGGGTAAGAAAAGATATAGGATGGCAACAACAATCTTGACCAATACTGGAGAAAAATCTGACAGTAGCAGACTATGTTTACAACTTATGGGCAGCAAAAGAACTTCCAAGGGCAATTTTGTATACACATGTTTACCTTCAACACTAATTTTAGAACCTAATTACACAAAAAAGAAGCATGTTGTACTTTTTTTAACATAAAACTCTTTCCTAGAAACAACTCACAGAATTATTCTCACAGGACATATTTTGGAAAACTCTGATTTAGCTGCACAGAGTAAATATTCAAATTAAACATTCATCATCAGTTCTGAGTAGTACATGCTGAGACTGTAATATGAATTACTTTATATACAGTAATTTGCTTTCAATAATCTCAAAAAGTTAAACTATTATAAGAACGCATTTACTAGAATTATATTGTAAAAACATCTCAAATTACAATTATAAAATTCATTAGACTCAAAGAAGTCATAGTACAGATTAAAGATGATGAAATTGTCAAAATGATATATTATATATTCAAGGCATTTTTATAAAATATTTAAATCTAATAGCAGATATAAAATGTCGATGAAATTAAGCAATCAACAAGCTAAAATAATATCCTAACTATCCACTCTATTTTTATTATTTCTATTTCTATAGCCATAACCTAAATTTCAGACTTCCTTTACTCTCACTACAAGATGCTATTATAACACTAACTGAGAACTCTAATTTATATCCCCCTAATCAAAAGCCTTCAATGGCTTCCCATTTTACATTCAAGTCTGATTCCTTAAAAAGTTTACTTTTTATTTATTGATTAATTTTAGAGAGAGAGAGGAAGGGGGAAAGAGAAAAAAACATCAATTTGTTATTATACTTATTTATGCATTCATTGGTTGATTCTTGTATGTACCCTGATCGGGGATCGAACCTGCAACCTAGGCTTATTAGGAGGACACTCAAACCAACTGAGCTACCAGGCCAGGGCTAAAAATAGTTTTTAATATAATCTATAATCTGGCACCAACCAACTTCCAAATTGATATCCCTTAACTCACTTTTACTCCTCTCTTCAACAAAATTTTTTGAGAATCTAATATGATTTAGGCACCAAGCTAGGTTCTAAAATATTCTGTCTAGTGGTTCTCAAACTGAGGGTTTGTGAAAATATTGCTGGACTCCACCTCCAAAGTTTCTAATTCAAAAGGCATGAATTTACATTTCTCACACGTTCTCAAGTGATGCTGATACTACTGGTCAGGATCTACTCTTGGTGAACCATTGCTCTACTCCTAAGGCCACAAAGGAAGCCCACAGGCTGAATGACATCCACTCACATATTTTGTCAGTGTAGTGTTTTAAACATTTTAAATTTGCAACATTTTAAAACTGGAAAATTTTTCACATAAAATGCAGATCTCTGGCTTATTGTGCATGTAAAAAGTCTCCCGGAACTAAACAGTAGCTACAGTCAAGGAAGATGTCTTAAGATTACTACTATCCTAATGGGCCCTCTACAGTCATGTACAATCATCTGGTTTAGCACTCTATTTGTGCTTGTACACGATGATCCACTTCTCCCCATTCTCTAGGCCTTTTTTCATGCTGCTCACTTTGACTTAAATGTCCTTTCCCCACTGTACTGCTAAAATTCTGCCTACCCCATTCTAAAGCTTGGCTTAAAAATCCTTCCTCAACAAAGCTCTAGCAAAAATAGAAATCGGTAAGTAATATACATACTAAAGATTTAACTTAAATTTAATATGTGTGCTTTAAGAATGAAAGTTTTATTTCCACAAATACTAAAAAAGCAATATTTAAAAAAACATTACAGATTATATCATAAACTATAAACATACTTTTTGCTACTTTTAATCTATGTAAAATTTTAATTTTGTTCATTAAAATTTTTACTGTGAAATCTTTTCCAGAATAAGACATTAAAACATTAAATCTTACAGCCAAGATATATAATAGCTCCAAGAGATTATCTTATTTTTCTGGCAAAAAAAAAGGTGGGTGGGGGATGGGGATAATTGATGCAATTCCCCTGATTTCATAACCTCCCAATTTTTAAAAACTATTTTAATAAAATAAGCACCTCCAATGTTTTTAATATGGAGGTTAACTTTAATGGATCTTTATTTCTATGGAATAGTAGGGGGGGAAATTACAAACAAAAACTCAGTGCTGGTCCTTGCTCTGCCATAAATAGCTTTGTTATATCAAGTAAGTCATTGAGTTCTTTCTGGACCTCAGTTTTATTAGCTTCTAAACTGAAAAGGGGGTAAAAAGTGATCTCCAAATACTTTCCATCACTAAAGTCATAGGACTTACTCCTTCAAAAAATGAAAGCATAAAAATCAATGTCATAAAGACAAGCTTCCTGTTATTGGGCTAGTATTGCTTCTAAATTAGACTGAATTAAAAACCTTGAACTACAGCTTTTCAAAGCTCTAATTTAAAATGTTGAAGATAGAGCTTTGAAAGACTACTTATGTGTTTGTGTATATATTTATGTATGTTATATTTTAATGATCAAAATATAACATCTTTTGTAAGGCCAACAATTAAACTTCTTAGAAAAAAAACAGAGAAGACAAAAAAAAATAAAACCATGCCATACAATCAAAAAATTGTAATATATATCAAAAGAAAATTAAATAATTTACAAAATGTCAAAAATGTTTTTTTCATAATAGAGGTTAACGATACATTAAATACATATTCTGCTTTAAGACATTCCCAAGAGAAAGTAACGGCCAAAATTAAAATTATCATATTGTGAAACTGAAAAAAATTTAGAAACGATTATATTCAGGCAGATCATGCCGTAAGCGAATTGCTTTCAGCTTCTCCACTTCAATTTTTGCTTGTAGCAGCTCTTCTTCTAGCTGCTGCCTTCTTTTCAATCCATCCCTCTTCTCCTGAACATATAATCCAAAATTTTTTTGATTTTCTAAAATTATCTGATGCTCCTCTTTCAGCATTTGCAGAATCTGAGGATCATACCCTAACTGTGACCTAAAGTGTCCTCCACACTCATGATGAAAAAAGTCATCTCTCCTTGGGATGGAAGATGGAGACGATGTCATTCTCATATCAACAGAGGAAAGTGACGGCGACACAGATCTGTCCATAACATGTACTAATTCATGTTCTTCTCTTTGCTCTAAAGTATAACTCTGTTCCGAATTTAAAACCAGTGGAGGAGGGGGCTTAATGTCTTCTTCTTGCTTCACCTCCACTGTAATAGCAACTGGATGCTGATCCAACATTACCTGCAGTGAGCTGGTACCAGCCTGTGCCTCCTCAGCCAAGTTTGCACTATAGCACACAAAAAAGCATTATAAAATGTAAATCAAATGAAGACAAGAGTATATTTACACCATAATTTCATGTTTAATGTACATTACATTATTAAGCTTTAAAGCTATAAAGCTATACAGAAAATTATGAAACAAAAAAATTTAACCCTTAGAATAACAAATTGAAAGTGAGTGGATTTTAATAACAAATTCATATATGTTACTTCCCATCCTTAACTTTAAAATATGGCTCTTAAAAGAACATGAAATTATAAATACTACGCAAATGACAATGAGGTAAATAAAAAAGAAAAGCCATCTTTAATGGTTTCAGAGACGCAATTGCTCCTACAAACCTGACCTTCTTTAATTGTATGCTGGGCCTTGCTATCCCTATCCCTTTGCCCTTGATCTGCTTCTGCTCTCCTGGACTGAACTAAAAATCACCAAGTTCCAAGACTTCTAGGAGGATAATGGAAGGGCATCTATGAGAAGCAATGTTTTCTGCATTTGTCCAAAAAAAAAAAAAAATCAAGATTGTGTATGGCTTCAGATGCCATCAGGGTTATCCTAACTATCTAATTTCAGGTGCAATGGTGTTTAATCTTACCTATCCTAAACCACATGACTCAGTTGTTCTCTCAGTCTCTCAACCACTGGTAAAGTTAACCGGCCAAGGGTTTATATTGACCACTACATCCCCAGCACCTAGCATAAGACTATACTTGAAATCTGGTAGGTGCTCATCATATGTGGCATGATTAAATATAGATAAAACGGTTATGTTAGTGTAATGTTTTTAAATAGGCTATATCCAATACACTGAAAGTTTATTAAATTTACATGTTATTTCCATAAAACTGTACAGGCATCTACAGTTTTAGCATAGTTTATTAATATTGTATTATGTAAATATAATGTACCTTAAAGTTCTGTTTTTAAAAAAATAATTTCAGTTATACCATGAAGCTGTTAATTACGAATATATAATCTTGTTTCTTGAGGGGTATTTTTAAATTTTTGCTTCTGCCTTACTTAAAAATAAAAATTAGAAAGGGAAAGAGACTATTAAAATATTAATGGAAGTGCTATATTAACGTTACAGAACATTTCACAAATGATAAGTAGCATAGTTTAAGTAGAACTTAGAAAAAAGTTTAAAATCCCCATATGTCACTTACTAATGGCATTAAATTGTCAATAATATCAGATGTTTGTCTAAGGGATACAAATGAAATATATAGTATGTTATAAAAAACCTATTTGTAGATTATATAAATTCATCCATTTTCATAACTTCTTTTGTCATCTTATAATTTTATTTTAAAACATATTTTTATTGATTTCAGAGAGGAAGAGAGAGAAGGGGAGAGAGAGAGAGAGAAACATCAGTGATGAGAGAGAATCATCGATTGGCTGCCTTCTGCTCGCCCCTCACTGGGGACCAAGCCCGCAACCCCAGTAATGTGCCCTGACCAGGAATTGAATTGTTACCTCCTGGTTCGTAGGTTAATGCTCAACCACTGAGCCAAACTGGTTGGGCTATCATCTTATGATTTTTGAAAGCAAAACGATAGAATATAAATGTAATTCAAATTGGTAAGATTTACTTTTATTAACATCTCTAAAACCTATAATGGAAAAATATTAAAACTGCAGGTTAAATTTAAAAAATTTACACAATAACTATTCCAAATTGATATGTACAATAGAGTATAATACCATTAGACATATACATTATACTCTCATGTAAATTAAAAATATGCCTTATATCTGGAATATTCTATTCCATTTTAGTGGAAACATTGTAAGTAAGGCCATCATATAAAAAATGTTTTAGAGAAAGTCACAAAAATGATAAACAGAAGGGTTTCTAAAATTTAGAAATATGGATTGTAAGGATCAATTGAGTTACAAAAACACAAAATATAATTTGATATTCGAAAGAAGTAAAAATAAAGACATAAATCAATGTGTTACAGAGATAGTCTAACCAAATATGTGTATATTTTTTAAATATATTAAATAATATAAACAGTAAGATTTTCCTTACTAAGAATGGAGAGACTGGTGAGATTAGCAGGCATGTTTATATAGAAGCATAATTAAAATTATAGAATAATTATAAACTTGTGAGATAATTATCAAGATTCAAGATGATGTCAAATAAGTATAAGCATATTAAATATATCAATATATTACATGAAAACACTAATATGAAAAATGACAGTGTAGACACTAATATAAGCAAGCATTAAAATGGCTTAATATTCTTCACTTTAAAATATGAAAAATTGTTATTGTTTAAATAGTAGGTATAAAAATACGTGAATCAATTAATTCCTTTTATCAGAGAAATGTTGTCCCAAAAGATTGTATGTTACATACATACACATACAAATGGTCAAAATATAAAGATACTTTTATCTTATTTCTCTTCTATACTCAGTTTTTAAAATATGCAACTAACTGAAACTATAGTTCCCATGTGTAGTTTTCAAATTATAAAGGTCTATACTTAATACCCAAAAGATGGTTTTATACCTGTAATGCAGAAGCAACTTTTCTTATGGTCTGAGGAGAAAAAAATGTAATAACTAACACAGTATAAAACAGTCTTACTGTGGAGGTTTCTGACATCCATCATATTAGGATTTAATCATTTGTCATCTCAGTGAACATTTTAAGCAGTGGCCTCATAATTTAATACATTGTGTATCCATGTCCTGGATTCCCACTAGTGATATTTTTTTACTATGCTATCAACTAGAAATAAGCAGTAGATGGTAAGAAGCTGGGCTCAAAAAATGATCCCAGTAAAATAACAAATATGTTTGGTTAAAAAGTTCTTTTCCCTGTTTCTCTCCTAACTTCAAAAAGATTTCACAGGTAATCAATAAATGTGCTTATATAATGACTCTCCCACTAATGGAAAAGCACATTGTAAAGCTTTATTTGAAAGGTCTCTCAACTAACAAGAAGTTTACAACTTGTTTAAATTACCCTAAATGGTTCAGAAAAATGTAGCTACCATTTTTATCTTTTCCCAGGGGTTAAAATTTGAATCAGTAGTAAGGTAATAGTTTTTAACATTCCAAGGCAAGTAGTTATGTAGAGCATAAATTTAAAAACAACAACATGTTTCTAACACTTTATGAAACCAGTTGCTCTTATTGGTATATTAAAATTCATAGTTTGATATCCTTGCAAAGCAATTTGTGAAAACCTGTCCTTTCCTATGTGACCCACGATCAATGTGAAACTATACCATTAATAAATACACAAAAACTTTAAATTTTATTAAGTAACCTGAATCCCTAATTAGGCATTAATTCCTTTCCTTGTGTTTATTTTAGATATGTTAGAAAAATAACTTAAACTGTCTTAACATATGCAATAATACTATTAATAAGTTTACTTATTTATTGATTTTAGTTTTTTAGCTCAAAGAATATTCAATAAGTGGAGACAGTGACAATTTCACATACAAGCAAGGGTTCCATTTCTCCTGCAACTAACTTTCTATGAAACCTGAAAATTCCCAATGAAATGTAACCTTAAATGAAATCTTAAAAGGTCTCTCTCTCAGCCTAATTACATAATTAAATTTTAAAAGCTTAAAAAGTTTATGAACAGATGTCACAAATTTCATCCCAATTATTCCTCCCTAACCTTTACTTTTTAGAAACTACAGAAGGAGGGAAGGGGGAAGGGAAGACAATAAAAGTGACTTAAATGAAATGCAGCAGGAAAATTCCTTATAGCCTCACTTTTCTTTTTTTAGAACGCAAAACAAAGACACTATTCATTGCTCCCGTGTGGGGATGCTTACTATGCATATCTCTGTCACAACTAAGCCAGAGCCCAATAGATAGGAGGCGCCATAATTTTCCACAACAAAATAAAATAAAGCTTACCTTTGTATGTGGTTCCTGTCTCTTACCAGGCAAAAACTGGAAATCTGGGGAATCATCTCCATAACTTTCTTGGTTGGCTCAGAAATACTGCTTTTTAAATCTGATTGGGTATCTTTTTGCTGCAATAGCTCCTGTTTGGCATATTCTTTGAGCCTTTTGTAAAGGGTGCGTAGGCCCTGCGCTGTTCGAGGAGGGCGGTCTACTCCAATTGCATTATAGTTAACTGCTATGATATCCCAACATCTATTCTTTTCCACTATTACTGAATGCTTATTAGTGTGTTCTTCGAGGATTTTCACATATGGCTTCACAAGTTTTAGCAAATCAAGCTTTTCAGATAAGGTAAAATTGGAAGATCTAGCCTTTCCTACCATTGTTCTTTTCTCAAATTAAGGAGGCAGTTTCTGAAACCACCATGCAGCCTTCAGCTCTGCTCAGCTCTTTTCACAAACGGAAAAAGATCAGGCTTAACTAGGCTAGCCTCATTTAGGCCCACGCCTACAGGGGAGGGTTTATTAAAATTCCTCCAGCTTAAGCTGACGCAGGTTCAGGAAATCTGCTTAAGCCAAGCCTGACCTACATAAAGCTTCTCACTGAAACAGACAGGAAGGCACAGGCAAAACACACTTGTGTATAAAGAGAGCAGCTCAAGATAGGATTTAATAAACAACGGTCTAGAGATAAGCATGGAACACAGCTAAAAATTAGCTAATTTGGTGAGAATATCAGGTTTCCACATATGTATGCTTAGCTGATATTGAAACTGCACTGCAGTATCACTTTAATAAAAACAAAAGAGGAACTGTTTTGTCCTATTTGTTTACAAATCCAGAGGACAGAAAAATAAAAACTAACGACGTGAGTGGTGAACGTAGTGATTCCTAACTGAGCAAGGCCCACGGTTTCTGAGCTGCTATTCTCTCTTACAAAATCTGCATAATGCTGGTCCTGCTGTCAATCAAGAATTGCATATCGTCTAGCTAGTTAGGTTACACCCAGACTCAGACTCCACAGTAAAGCTAAGCTTCTCCTTCATTTTACAATCTACAGGATCCACTGCGGTGTGTGCTTTTTTCAGTTACTTAAGAATAAATTTTTGTCAAACAATGAATCTAAAAAGCAGATAATAAAAGGCTTTTAAAGCAATGTATTATTCTAGCTGTAACATATGTGAATATGCTAGCCTGCTCTATCATGTGTAAAAATCACCATCCACGGTGAAAACAGCATAATCTCGCCTTAAGACTGCACACAACAAAATCACTATTTTGCTATTATTAAGGGGTGGGATTTTCATTTAGCTATACTCACACAATCTCAACTACTAAAGCAAACAGCCATTTGCAAGGCTACCAGTTTACATGCTTAGAATATATTTTCTAATCCCTGTCTGAAAATATGGTAAATAACAATGTAAGCAAAATAAAGTTTTTTTCTCCTGATATATATGTTTATCCAGATAAAAGAATGAATTAGAACATATTTGAACACAGTTCCATTCAACCAAACAATTACTCAACAGCCGTTAAAAATCCTCCCAAGCACTGTGGCAGGCCCAAGGAAAACAAAGGTGAATCTACCTGATACAGCCCCTATTCAGGAAGCTGTAGTTCTGCAGAAACACCGTAAAATTTCAATTCCTTGTTTTTCATTCTTTCAATAGAGAGAAGCAAATTAAATGTATTGAGTTCTCATACGAGCCACACAATGTGCAAGAAGTTTTAAATGTGGATCCATCAGGAAAAAGGGAAAAGACTGCTGGGTGTTCTAATGAGACAGAAAAAGAGGACTAGGTATGCAGACAGGGACCACATGGAGATAGGGGGAAAGGAAGTCAGATATGGAGGCAAAACCTGGCTGGGCTGGGAAAACTTGACCCTTGACCTGGCCAGGTGGGAACAGTGATGTCACCTGGGACCTGAAGTGGCAGTCCTTAATCAGGTCCTCCCACAGGTGGAAACTTGAACTTTGATATAATTGGATATTGCCAGAATTCCTTAAAGCAGTGGTTCTCAGCCTTCCTAATGCCACGACCCTTTAATACAGTTCCCTCATGTTGTGGTGACCCCCAACCATAAAATTATTTTCGTTGCTACTTCGTAACTGAAATGTTGCTACTGTTATGAATCGTAATGTAAATATCTGGTATGCAGGATGTATTTTCATTGTTACAAATGAAAGCATAGTGATTAATCACAAAAACAACATGTAATTATATATGTGTTTTCTGATGGTCTTAGGCAACCCCTGTGAAAGGGTCGTTTGACCCCTATAGGGGTCGTGACCCACAGGTTGAGAACCGCTGCCTTAAAGGGACCAATCAGAAGCTAACAGAGTATATAAACATCCCCTAAACAAATAGGGGCCCCCTTCCTGCTGTCTTGCAGCAGGAAGTCCACATATCTCCTCCCGCAAGCTTTGTTCCCACCTCCCCCTCCAATAAATTCTGTTTCCTTCCCACCATTTTTGTCCCTGAATCCATTCTTCAGTTTTACAAGACAAAGAACTCAGACCTAACCACATTTTGGGCATATTTTGGGTTTCACTAAGGAATGCAAGGTGTGTTGTCTGGCATACCCTACTGCAGGGGTGGGCAAACTTTTTGACTCGAGGGCCACAATGGGTTCTTAAACTGGACCGGAGGGCCGGAACAAAAGCATGGATGGAGTGTTTGTGTGAACTAATATAAATTCAAAGTAAACATCATTACATAAAAGGGTACGGTCTTTTTTTTTTTTTTTTTTTTAGTTTTATTCATTTCTAAAGGCCAGGATCCGGCCCACGGGCCGTAGTTTGCCCACGGCTGCCCTACTGAGTAGTCTGATTTGTTAGTAGTTCTAGCTTTTCACTGCCTTTGGTCAGTTTTATTGCTCAATAAATTGTTGTAAATAGTAATGATTATTGTCCATAGAGATGGGAATTGAAAATTGACTCGTCCCAGCAACCTGACCACAGATATGCAAAGAAAAACAAGAACACAAGATATATACTACCTTTAAATAATATTTTGTATTTTTGGGAAAAATGCAGATATTATATTAAGAAACAAAATACTAATAAAAATATGAAAAACCATTCAATCTCACCAAATTATCAAGGAAATGTATAGTAAAAATGACTTTCTTCTATAAGATTGGCAAAATTCTTAAAGACTGAAAATGTCAAGAGCAGATAAGGGGGCAGGGCAAAGAGCACTCTTTGGTGCTGTTGACGGATGTGTAAAGTGGCATTCTGGACATCGATCTGGGAAAATCCATTAATATTTTACATTTGTAAAACCTTCCAAAACTGTTAACCTAAAAATAAATTAGCAAAGTGAGAGACAACAAGTATTTACTTGAGGATCAAAACAATAGCTATTCAGGAAGCAGTGATTCAGACAGAAACCCAAAGTCTTCCAATTAGGAGGTGAAGGCAAGGGGTATTTATGAGACAGAAAAGGGGAATAATTACATGAATAGAATCAAGGGTGCTAATAAGCTAAGGAAGGAATTTCTGTAGATGCAGATAAGCTAAAAGAGTGATGCTGATTCTTAAAAATGTCTATAATTTTCAGAACAGTAGTCATAATAACTGCTCTCTTGTTATCTTTGCAAATAGTTCTGTGGAACACAATGTTGCTTTAGGCTCAGATCAAATATTGTTTTGCCCAGTTTTAACATTCCAAAGATTTGAGGACTAAGACATACAGGCAAGGCAGTTCCTCTGGGATGACAGCTCCAACTCCATTTTGAAATGGCTCCATTTATATTATTTTTTACAATACTATGGTCTACATTAGGCAGCATTAAAATGAAAGAGACAGATTGCTTTTTTAAAATATATTTTTATTGATTCCAGAGAGGAAAGGAGAAAGAGAGAGAGAGAGAGATGGAAACATCAATAATGAGAGAGAATCATTAATCAGCTGCCTCCTGCATGCCCCACACTGGGGATAGAGACCGCAACCCAGGCAGGTGCCCTGACTAGGAATCAAACCATGACTCTTGGTTCATAGGTTGATGCTCAACCACTGAGCATACCAGCCAGGCTTCAATTTTTATTTATTTTATTTTTATTTTTTTACAGAAGAAAACGACGTTTTAATATATGTGCATGGGTAATTTCAGAGGTATGAAAATTCCAAAGACAATGAGGCAACACTGGGTATATAAGACATTTTGGACAAAGGAGAAAGGGTATGGAAGGGAGTATTAGATTTCAGAAAAATGGAGGATTTACAGGTAGTTGGGGAGGAGGGGAACATACCTGGCAGGCAAATTCTTGCTAGGCAAATCAGAAAGAATGGGACTTAAGGGGTATCTGCCTGAAGCCCTCTGTTTACCATACTTAATTCAAATTAGGCTAAGGCCACATCACTGAGGATCTGTATAATTCTGATTTGATTTAAACTGTAGTTTTAAAACCATCATATTTTTCTTCTCTCTCTCAGTTAACTTCACTGCCCTGATGATCCTTGACTCCTGAGACAGCAGAAGACAATAGCCCAGTTCTGAGTAATGGTCACCCCAAGGTTTAATCCCCTGGCAGGCTAAAGATAACAGCTCCTGAGCCCTAAGGCAGGAAAACCCTCTTGGTTACTTGTTCTTGAAAGTAGTTCTGGACACCCAGCTGACCTGGGAGTTGTCCTCAAGACCTGAAGGAATGATTTATTACCCTTATCTCGCGTCTGACCAATCAGCTCCTACTATGACCCTGAACCCCTAGCCCTTGGTGCCTTGTGATTTTGCCCTACATAATCTGCAACCTATGTCCTGGAGGAGTTGGGTCTTTCAGAGTAGGAGCCCAGAGGCCTCCAGACTGGCCAGTGCAGATAAACCAATTCCTTTTGTTAGGGGCAGAAATAGAACACTATCATATCAAGTTTGTTTTTGTTTTATAATTACAGTTGACATTCAATATTATATTAGTTTCAGGTGTACAGCATAGTACTTAGACTTACAATTTACAAAGTGATTTCCCTGATAAGTCTAGTACCCACCTGTCACCATACATAGTTATTACAATATTGACTATACCTTGTTACTATTTTATAACTGACCATTTTTTAAAATATTTTTTTATTGATTTCCAAGAGGAAGGGAGAGGGAGAAAGAGATAGAAACATCAATAAGAGAGAATCATTGATCGGCTACCTCCTACACGCCCCCTACTGCGGATTGAGCCTGCAACCGGGCATGTGCCCTTGACCAGAATCGAACCTGGGACCCTTCAGTCCACAGACTGACACTCTATCCACTGAGCCAAAGCAGCTAGGGCTGTAACTGACAGTTTGTACTGATCACAAATCACAACAAGTATAACAGTAATGAAAAATTCTGAAATATTGTGAGAATTACCAAAATGTAACACAGAGACACAAAGTGAACAAATA